GCAGAAGTCAGCTGTAAAGAGCAGTGGTGTCTATGGTAAAGCCAAAATGGTAAATTACCACGAATGCTGCTAACTCACCTGTTCACAAACTGGATTGTTATCATTAACGTCAGTGACTGTCACTTCTACAGCAGCCTGCGTTACGAAGAGGCCATCAGTAGCTGTGATGTTCAGATAATAAATGTCTTGTTCTTCCCGATCGAGTGGCCTTTTCACATAAACCTTCCATTCATTCTGAACTAGTCCCAGAGCGAACTTTCCTTTGGGATTCCCTCCTGTAATGAGAAAAGCAACAAACCATAGGCTGGGGAGTCCCAGTCGGCGCAACCACAAACACAGAGTCATCTTGGAGGGCCTGGAAGAAGCAGCCATCACTTGTTTACAGTGATCAGTGTTTTCCACCTTGCCGACTCAGGAAATCTGTGATGAGATTATTCTTCTCTGTGTTTATTGCCCCCTGAATGTCTCGTATGAAAGTGAAACAATAACTTTCATAAGAAGGAAAATCCATTTAGCAGAGCTGAAGATGATCTCTTGTTTAGTTCCCCTTAAGGGCAATCAAATTCAAACTGTGAACAATCAATAGTCTTCTCAGGATGGTACAATTGTCTTTCCACTTAGTCTCAAGAGAGGCTGTAATACTCTGTAGCTCTTGTTACCAAGACAATTTCATTAACTGTTGATTATGCAATCAAGGAGTAGAAGTAGGTTCTATTAAGGAATCCTCTAATGAAAGCTTTATCATACAGCCGCGCCGCTCTTCTGCTCATTACAATTCTGGTTTTAAAAAAAGTTTACATGACACGGGAAGACACATTAGTATTAAATAGTCCTAACAAGAGGTCATTGGTGGAGTGGTTTGAAGATAAGCACTGCAATTAGATCAACCGTATCAGAGAGTGAAAGCTGGTGAAAGCCAGCAAGGAGTGCAGGAAATGAAGCAAAACAGCTTTTTATCATGCTGAAACACTGACACCAAACCTGGCAATGTTTCTTTTTGCCATCGTTAAATTTTACAGTGACAAAAGCATACTGGGAGAAGGAAAGATCATTCTGAGGAAGGAAGTAATGACATTTCACATGAAGAAGGGTACAAGGAATTAAGGCAGGCAAAGTTCTTTGCCATTAATGTGTTTTTCTATTTTCACTTCCCCTTGAAGTGCTACAGTCCCCTGATTGGTCCACACAGAGACAACCTTCAGTCACCTTTCTCAAGTCCTCTATGCCCAGCACTGAATCCAAGTTTGGTCTCTAAAAATACATGTGCACAATGCTGGATAGAGTACTACATAGACCAAACTCATGCACTCTAGGAATTGAATGAAGATATAGTAAAAAATAACGCTGCTCCACTGGGCAAACTTTAATTCCAGCTAGGCAGCTGGAATCCTCTTCCAGCAATTCCAGATGGATAATGCTCTTCCTCACCACATTAAGCTTCCTCACCACAGTAAGCTTCCTACTGTGCTCTCCTGCAGAAATACAATTTGAGAACTATTTTCCATGTATGTGATGTAAAAAAGACAGCACAAAAATATTAAGGGAATGCTTTTTTTTTTCTCGTAGCAGTATCAAGAATGCCAAATATACTCAGTTTGGTTTTGCTCACAACTTATTCAAGGTCTTGACATGTGTCACGGGATCCGTCCAAGCTTAATATAAAGAGCAGGCTTTTCAGCCTTCCTCTCTCCTACTTATGCTCAAAGTTTGAGTAAATAAGTATTATAAAAAAAATCAACAGAGAGAAAGGTACA